CTTGTTGGCTTATTAGCTATAACTTTTTTTTTTTTGAGGAAGATTAGCCATAAGCTAACATCTGTTGCCCATCCTCTTCTTTTTGCTGAGGAAGACGGGCCCTGAGCTAACATCCGTGCCCATCTTCCTCTGCTTTATATGTGGGATGCCTACCACAGCACGGCTTGCCACGCAGTGCCGTGTCCGCACCCGGGATCCGAACTGACGAACCCCAGGCCGCCGAAGCGGAACGTGCGCACTTGACCGCTGCGCCACTGGGCCGGCCCCTATTAGCTACAACTCTTGTTATTTTAGTGGTTTATAGTATATATCTTTAACCTATCAGAGTGAAAAGATAAATATTATTCAACTTCAATTATGGTATAAGAAGCTTAGAACAGGGGCTGGCCCCATGGCTGTGTGGTTAAGTTCACGTGCTCTGCTTTGGCAGCCCAGGGTTTCGCTGGTTCATCCCCTAGGCATGGGCCTAGCACCGCTCATCAGGCCACGCGGAGGCGGCGGCCCACATAGCACAACTAGAAGGACTTGCAACTAGAATATACAACCATGTACTGGGGGGGGGGGGGGGGGGGGAGAAGAAGGGGGGAAAAAAAAAGATTGACAACAGACGTTAGATCAGGTGCCAATCTTAAAAAAAAACTTAGTACAGTATAGTTCCATTTCTCTCTCTCCCAGTCTTTGTGCTATTATTGTGATACATTTTACTTCTCTTATAAACTCCACATTACTTTTGTTTTTGCTTTAAACTGTCAATTTTTTAAAGCTTTATTGAAGTATGATTTATATGCCATAAATTTCATCCTTATTAGGTGAAGAATTCCATCACTGTTACTATAACGGGCTTGTGCAACCATCACCACTATCTAATTTCAGAACATTCCATTACTCCAAAAAGACACTGTGCCCATTTAAAGTCTCTGCATATCACCAACTCCAGGCTTAGGTCACCCCTAATCTATGGTGTTTCTCTACAGGTTTGCCTCTTCCGCACATTTCATAGCATGGAACCATACAACATGTGGTCTTTTGTGCCGTGCATCTTTCACTTAGCATAAAGTTTTCAAAGTTCCTCCATCTTATAGTATGTGTCAGTACTTCATTCCTTTTCATTGCCAAATAATATTCCATTGTCTGAATATACATTTTATTTATCCATTCACCAGTGTGGGTTGTTTCTCCTTTTTAGTTAATAAATAATGCTGCTATGAATATTTGTTTTTGTGTAGACATATATTTCACTTACTTTGGGTAGATAACAGAAGAGTAGAATTTCTGGGTCATATGGTATCTTAGTCTGCTTGAGCTGCCATAGCAAAACACAATAGACAGGGGGGCTTAAACACAGCAATTTCTGACAGTTCTGGAGGCTGAGAATTCCAGGATCAAGGTGCTGGCAAAGCAGGTTTCATTCTGAGGCCTCTTCTCTTGGCCTGGAGGTGGCTGCCATGTTGCTGTGTGCTCACGTGGCCTCTCCTGGGTGCACATGCCAGGGGGTAGGTAGGAGAGTGTGCTCTCTGATGTCTCCTCTGCTAAGGACACTAATCCTGTCAGATCAGGATCCCATCCTTATGACCTTACTTAATTTTAATTACTTCCTTAGAGGCTCCATTTCCAAATACAGCCACACTAGGGGTGAGGGCTTCAACATACAGATTTTTGGGTGGGGGACGCAGTTAGTCCATAACACAGTAAATCTGTTTTAACATTTTAAGAAACTGACAAACTGTTTTCCACACTGAACACATCATTTTCATTCCTACCAGCAATATATAAGGATTCCAGTTTCTCCATATCCTAGCTCGTTTTTTTTTTTTTTTTGAGGAAGATTAGCCCTGAGCTAACTGCTGCCAATCCTCCTCTTTTTGCTGAGGAAGACTGGCCCTGAGCTAACATCCGTGCCCATCTTCCTCTATTTTATATGTGGGACACCTACCACAGCATGGCTTGACAAGCGGTGCCATGTCCACACCTGGGATCCGAACTGGCAAACCCCGTGCTGCTGAATCGGAACGTGCGCACCCAACCGCTGCGCCACTGGGCTCACTTTTTATTGTCTTTTTGATTATAGCCATTCTAGTGGGGGTAAAGTGTCTCTCATTATAGTTTCAAGTTGCATTTCTCTATTGACGTTGAGCTTTCTTCCTGTGCTTTGGGCTATTTATTTGTCTTCTTTGGTAATAGTCTATTTAAATCTTTTGCCCATTTGTAAGTTGGCTTATAGATCTTACTGAGTTGTAAGAATTCTTAATATAATCTAGATGTAGGTCCTTTGTCAGATATGATTTGCAAATATTTTCTCCCAGTCTATAGCTTGCATTTTCACTTTCTTGATGGTGTCTTTTGAAGTGTAAACTTGTAAATTTTGATGAAGTCTAACTTATCTAATTTTTCTTTTATTGCTTGTGCTTTTGTTGTCATTTTTAAGAAACTATTGCTTAATCCAAGATCATGAAGATTTACTCCTGTTTATCATTTCTGGATCAGTTTTGACTATTCCTTATTATTTCCTCATTTTTTATACACACACACACATAAAATACATATATACACATACATACACGCACACATACATATACACACGTATATATGTATATACACATATGTATACACATACATTTAAACTTTTTATTGGAAACTTTTTGTTATTCTTCAAAAACACCAATTTAATGACTGCATACTTTGCATTATGACTATATAATGGTATATTTAATCTTTGTCATTACACATTTAGGTTATTTTGAACTTTTCAGTTTTACAAATAATATCCCGATGAGTAACATTATACACATAAGTGTGTTTCACATCTCTCCTATGATTATATATCAATTTATACAGACATCAATCGTGCATGACAGTGGAAAGTATGAATTATTTATGACATTTGTCCCTTCTTTTATTGGGTTTAAGTATGTTTAAAAGCATGTAAATGCTATTAAGGACTTCAGCACTTTTATATTTATTGTGATATCTTCTCAGTGTTATATGCCTTTCCATTTTCATAAAGAAAAATTTTAAGTTTTTTATTCTTGTAACATAGAAAAAATACATAATGTCAGAATAAACTAATAGTATAGAAACTTTACTTGTTTTTCAGATACATACAGATGAGTTAATGTGAAAATGTTTTGACAGATTAAAGTGCTTTACAGTTGAAACACACCATGATACTGGCATAGTCGCTGATCCAGAAGGACAGGAAACTGTCCAACTAGAGATGATACAAAAATATTTCCTAAAAGGTAACTTTGGCATGCTAGTAGAGGAGCTAGAACAAACGTCGAATTCATGGCTTAAAGTAAACCCTCACCTCGGAGACTAGGACGACGACGAACACGGTAGCTAGACATCTTAGCCACCTCAAGTCTTTTAGAAAAGAAGGGTCTGATAAACAATTATAAATCGTAATGGAACCCTGTACTTTAAAACTTGGGTTTGATTCGTGGCTCTGCCTATCTAGTTTCTTGTCCTATGCGTTGTCACACACCTTCTCTGAGCCTGTCTCCTCATTGGTGAAGTGGGAGCTGGATGATGGTCTCTGTTCTTTTAGTGGCTTTTAAAAACATAATGTTTAGCTACACTCTTTATCACTGGGAAAATAGTTACATTTGTAAGAAGTAGGTAGCTAGAAGTTAACACCAGATTGAGCACTAGAACAATAAGTTGCTCGTGCTAGTCTCATGAGCATTTAATTTCCTTCTTAGGTAGGTGCCATGAGAGGGCAAGAAAATGTTTGTTTTCCTCCCAATTCCATGCCTTCTCAATTTAATTTACGTGAATTTCATATATTACGTTATGAGAATTTCATCCTCCAAGTAAGGTTTCCTCATTTTTTTTTTTTAAAGATTTTATTTTTTCCTTTTTCTCCCCAAAGCCACCCCCAGTACATAGTTGCATATTCTTCATTGTGGGTCCTTCTGGTTGTGGCATGTGGGACGCAGCCTCAGCGTGGTTTGATGAGCAGTGCCATGTCCGCGCCCAGGATTCGAACCAACGAAACACTGCGCCGCCTGCAGTGGAGCGCGGACTTAACCACTCGGCCACGGGGCCAGCCCCTAAGGGTTCCTCATTTTAAGAATTCAAGTGGACTGGGCGCACTATATGCTAATGCAGCATGCTTAAGAAAATCAGTAAAATGAATTTTGTTGACTTTTAGTTCTTGTCATTAAATGTGGCTTATTCAGTATTTTAAAGTTGATCTAATCCGTGTCCCACTCCTGCCGCCCCCAATATCTATCACAGCCTTGTGCACTTAGCCAGCTCTGGCTGCTGTAACAAATACCAGGGACTAAGTGACTTAAGCACCAGATGTTTATGTCTGTTCTGGAGGCTGGGATGTCCAACATCAAGGTACTGACAGATTCGGTTCTTGGTGAGGGCCCACTTCCTGCCTTGTAGGCAGCTGCCTTCTCATTTCCTTCGTCCATGGGCACAGAGAAAGTGAGAAATGTGTCTGCCTCTTCTTACAGTGATGTTAATCTCATTCTGAGGGTCCCACCCTCATGAGCTCATCTAAATCTAATTATCTTCTAAAGGTCCTACTTCTAAATACATCTCCTTGGGGCTAGGGCTTCATATTGTGCATTTTGGGAGGATACAAAGCAGGTATCAATAAAAAGGTAGCCCACCTTCAGGGATTCAGTAGGTCTGGAATGAGGTACAGAAAGCTGTATTTTTTTTTTTTTAAAGCTCTTCAGATGATGCTAATGACCAGTCAGGTTTGAAAATCACTGATAAAGGCATTGTGTCCTTATTTGGGGAACATAGATCTATATTCTCAACTCAGTCTGGCATTATAAGAAATTGAAGGATGGTTAATTGTTCAGAACATCCCAAGAAGAAGGGGCCTTTTAATTTCTCCTGGAAGAGTGAACTCCCTATTATTTGCAATTCCACAAATTAAAAATGTAGCTAAATGCTACAATCTGGATTTTTAATGAAAAGCACAGTTAGCTCCCTTTGCATTCTCTGTTTCCTATAAACCTGCTTTGTTTGTCCCACAGAGGTGGAGGAAGATGATCTCTTTGATGATCCTCTGCCAGTCCCTTTAAGGCACAAGGTTCCAAACCAGCAAACTCTTTACCCTGAGGCATTTCCAGTGACTGCAGTATCACAAAACCAGCCTGAAAACCTGAGAGAAAGCACAGGAGGCTTCGAAGCAGAGAGTACGCAGACCTCCCTTTGGGCCAACTTTATAGATTGTGAGGAATCCAACAGTGAAAGTGAAGAAGAACTACAAATCCCAGCTTCCTCTCAAGGAGATCTGGGTCCCGTCACTCATCACCAGCCAAAGGCTGATACGGAAGTACCACAGTGGGAAGTATTCTTTAAAAGAAATGATGAAATCCCAGATGATGGTTTGGAAAACTTCCCTTCCTCCACAGAGGCGGGAGGCTCTCAGTCACCAAAGCTTTTCAGTGACTCCGAAGGGGAATCAACTCACATCTCTTCCCAGACTTCTTCTCAGTCAACACACATATCGGAACAAGGAAGTCAAGGCTGGGACAGCCAATTTGACACTGTTTTGTTATCTTCCCAAGAGAGAAACAGTGGGGATATTACCTCCTTGAACAAAGGTGGCCACAGACCAAGACTCAAAGAGAATGTTCCTGCCTCTCAGGTGGAACAAAATGTATTTTGCCTAAAGGATACTTACTGTGATTTGAAAAGCAGGCATCAAGATGTAAATATAGTTCCTGGTGTTGGAGAACCAACCACTCTAAGCAGTGGGAAACATATACCTCAGGAAAGAAGGCTGCTGCATCCTAGCACCAACGCAGACTCACAGAGCTCCTCTGATTTTGAAATTCCCTCAACTCCAGAAGCTGAGTTACCTGAACGAGAGCATTTACAGTATTTATACGAGAAGCTGGCAACAGGCGAGAGTATAGTAGTTGAAAAAAGAAAAAGCTCACTCTTAGATACTTGAGAATTAAAAACACTTCATTCCGGAGCAACCACTAAAAAACCTATACAAAGAGGTAATAGTCAAAATCATAATAGATAAATTAAAATGGAATACTTAAAAATGCTCATAGAATGTAAAAGAAGGCAGTAAAGGGGAAACAAAGGAATAGAAAACAAATAAGGTATGGTAGAACTAAATCCAAAAATGGTCTAAACACACAGGAAAAAACATAATTATGTGCTGTCTATAAGAAACTTCCTTCAAATGACATAGGTAGGTTAAAAATCAAAGGATGGAAAAAGATATACCATGTAAACACTACTTAGAAGAAAGCTGAAGAGGCTATGTTAATATCAGACAAATTTCCTAATGATAAAAGTTTCAGGTCACCAAGAAGCCTTAATCCTAAATGGGTATGTACCTAACAACAGCTTCAAAATATACAAAGCAAAAACAACTGAAAGAAAAGACAAACTAATGCACAATTATAACTGGGGACTTTAACATTCCTCTCTCAGTAATCAAATTAGTATACAGAAAATCAGCAAGGAGACAGAAGAGCTGAACAGCACCATCAACCAATTGGATCGGACACAGAACACTCCACCCAACAGCAGAACACATGCTTTTCAAGTACACATGGGACATTCACCAAGACAGACCCTATCTTGGGTCATAAAAACATTGCAAATTGAAAGAATAAACTTGGATCTATTACCATAAACTGATGGCTACAGGAAAAAATCAGCCCCTTATTTATCTCAAACGATGTTACATCACTTAAGAATATTTGTGTGAATATAGTGGTAAAATTATAATTAGAAAAATTAGGACCTAAAAGAAAATAAGTGGCAAAAGTATGAGTGTGTTCTGTGAGTCCTTCAACTTCCTTATAGTTACATGTGGACGTAATAAAGTTAAATATTCATCAACACTTTGGTATGCTGACATTCAGAGGTTGAGGAAGCAAAAGCAGAGATTTCACTTAAAACAAGTTTAGGTGGCGTCTCTAAAACACATTTTGGGATCAATCAAACTAATAATGATATGCATTACCACCACGCTGTATGGTAACTGGACCAAAAGTAAGTATTGGATCCACAAAACTAATTAGAGTTACAAGACTTAGAGTCAGTGGGAGAGGAAAATAAACTGGGTGCTCAGAGGAACCAATGCCAAGAGGACCCAGGAAGCCAGCCCTCTCATCCCCCCAGAAGGCAATGTTCTATCCCCAAATGTTGGGAGAAGGACAAGTAGCCCTCGTCCATTTACATGGGAGAAAAACTGGACAGTGACACCTAGACTTCAAATTTCAGCTAAGAAACTGGCACAAGAGGAGGGATGAGGGGCGGAACTGACACGGTTCTTGAGGGAGAGGGCGGAGGGGAGGGCCTGGTCAGTTCCCCTTTGAGTGGCCTTTGAGGAATATGTTGAGTCACAGTTTAAGGTAAGTGTCTCTGCCCTAAATTACTCAGCAGTAAGTTTTATTACCATGTACACTATGTATACCAAGAGAGAGTGCTCTGAGCTTAGTCAGGTACCTGGGGGGCAAAGGAACAGAAGGCCGAACACAAGGAGTTTTAAGTGAACCCTCACCCCTTTTTTCTAGCTCAGCTGCTGCTCTGAGCTTTTGATGACACACCTCTACCCACTCAGTGTGAGAGGGGCAGGATTCCAGTTATATACATTTCATTTTCCCATCTCCCCTATGAGGACTACCACCTAAATTCAAAGTGAATATGAAATCACTGGAGAGAACCAGCAGGGACTGCAAACCATGGGTTGATATCTAATAACAACTACAATAGGCCTATTACAGAAACCAAGAGACTTCATTTTTTATTTATAGCTCTAAATGTTACACTTCATTATCATAAATCATGTAATAAATGTAACTATATACATTCGTATATGTTCACTGACATTTAAGATTTCATCTTAATAGTACAGCTTATGATCCAAGGTAGGTGTTCAAAACATGCCTGTAAACATTCTTCTGAATATATTCTTGGCATTTTATAATCACACCATCAATTTAATATTACATACTGCCACATTTTCATTGATTTATTATGTGAGTCTGGCATAGTAAATGCTGGCTGAAGAAATTTAAGGGCTAACAGCACTAGAAGACACTTTGATCAAAAAACTTCTAGTGATCACCAAAGATTTTAATGTACAGGTTTATAGTACAGAATAACTATAGCAAATGCTTATATATGGTGCTTACTCTGTGACAATGCTTAATTCTTTTACACACTGTATATTACCTCCTTTAATCCTCACAACCACCCTCTGAGGTAGATAGATAGATTATCCCCATTTGCAGATAAGGAGGCTAAGGCACAGAGAGGTTAGTTCACAGAGCTAGTAAGGGGCGAAGTCAGAACTCAAACATAGGTAATTCAGGCCCCAGAGTCCACGCTCTTAATCACTATGCAAAAATGCCTCTCAGAAAGAGCATAAAAACAGGTAGGATTAATTGAAGTAAAAATAAAGTAGCCACTGTAAGAACTGTAAAGTGTAAAAGGAAAAATGAAAAACAAAAAGTTTCAAAATACCAAGATATATCACAGAAGAAACCCAGTGGCTAGCCACATTTCCCTTAGAGAGGAATCCAAGACTTCGAAGTTTGTTTAAACTAACAGTAGAAACTGATTTTTTAAAAAGTCTGCCTAAAGCTGGTTAAATACGTTAAAAATAGTCAGATTCAGTTTACTGCCTCTGAGCTGGGTGATCTCTGGCGTGCTATGGTTACCTAGCCAGTCTAAACTTGTTTCCTTCAGTGTCCTATAGTGACTTTGACAGCACCCACCTCGTCGATTTATGAGAAGCACATGAGTGCATATAAAGGGCCTAAGACTGGCCCACAGAGTGTTAGCTCTACTTCTTAAATTCCTTTGCACTTCCAGGCAGTACTTAGCACAATATGTTTAAGTCCCTAATAATGCTAAAACATTTTAGAAGTATCCATTCCACATTATGTTAAGTGTAAAATTCTACTTTAATATTCAAATACACAACCCATGACAATGATAACTCTCTTAAAACGAAAGTAACCTTTAAAGGAATGGTAATAAACCTTTGGTTAAGCTCAATAGCAGGTAGTCAGGAATACATCAGTATTTTTCCGCTCCTTTTGTAGCCTTACTGGAAATAACAGTAAAATATTCAGAAATAAAGCTAAGTCATGATAAATAGAAAGTCAAATGCCAAATTACATTTATTTTGCTAAAGAAAAACTGTTGAACTATAAGAAAAATAAGTGCAGTCTAGATTTTGCATATATAGGGAGAAAACCCTGAGATTACCAATTGTGTATCACAATACTCTCATGTAGATACTGAAGACAAGGGTGTTAACATAGCTTGTACAGTGGATTAATTTACAGGTTAAACTTGATCTAAATATTATCTTTGAATATTTGCTTTATATTGAGAGAACAAATTCTGGCAACTTAGGAAACTAATTTAAAGCAGCTAAATGTTGACTTAAAATGGTTAAAGCTCCTAACAGCTTCATTTACATAGTTTCTATTATTTTACTGTTTAAGTTCAGCTTTTTAATAACATAAAGGTAACATGGGTAATTAAAATCTCAAAGGCCCATTAAATTTCTATTAATAAGGATAAAGTTTACTGAAAACAGCCAGTTTCCCTTTGCCCTCCAGTTTACATATTTTAACACAAAAAGTAGAAAAGATCAAATTACTAGACGGTAAAACACTGATTTTTTTATAAAAAGAATGTTGACATTACATCTTTAAACCTGTGAAAAAATTATGCAAAATAATCTTGGCCACCGGAGCAACCTGTAAATCTGTGACACTTTCTTACCACACAATGTATTTTTTCCATAAACAAAACATAAGAAATGGACTAAAAAATGTATTTTTCCTTGACACCTGCAGATTTCGATTAGCAGATATACTCTGAGGCTCAAACATGTAAACAATTTACCCTATAAAACAGGAAAGTCACATGGTAGCAATATAATGAATTATAAAGTGTAGCTTCTTCCAAAAAAAGAGAGGTTAAAGATTAAGAAGATATCTGAGTGCTGCATTCTTGAAGTCAGTTCAAGTTTACCCACTCTTATTGTTGGTCATTAAAGCCTGGGGCACTGAGCGTAGGTAGACGTTAATTCGGCATACTGAAAGGTACATTTACTTGCTTCATTTACCTTCACGTTGGACACCATAATTAGAAATCCCAGAATCAGAAAGAGATGAAAACAGTTTTTCCCAATTGAGGTTTTACTATACAGCATAAAAAAGAAAAAAAAACAATGAATATATTCCATTTCAGTCTTCATAGTTCAAGTAATAAATGGTTTCATAAATTTAGGCACATATTTTGGCCAAGCCAGGTTTAGCTTTATCACATTTAAAAAAATTCATGTATAAAATAAGTATCCATTCAAAATACAGATTACTTTTTAAGAAGAGCCTGCAGGAAATACAAAAATAATTTAATTTGATGGAAAGGAAATGTTAAAACTGCCTGAAATTCAGAAGCTGTTATGTTAGTGTACTGTGTGAAAACTTATCATTAGGTACAGCTGCTCTCAGGGGTGTCTTGTCTCACTGTTCAGACCAGAGGCACTGTGTGGCTCTAATTCATATTCACGAGGGGCCCTTATGATGCTTCATTTCCCCTGCCCGGCACTCCAGAAAACCTTCCTGGTCCCACCTCCCCACCGTTTCAGAGAAGCATATTCTAAACTTTTAGAGCATTTTGGAGATTTTCCTTCTACGGAATTAAAAAATCTTTAAGAATTACTGGTTCAGACATACATTCATCATAATGGTCTAGATTGCTTCAAAATATGAAATCAAGCTGTAATTAATTTTTTCAACATTTAATTTAAGACTTTAAATTTCTGTATCAAGATCCCAATGTTTTAATGAAAGAAGTAGAAAATAGAGTATAATTCAGTATCACCTGTTTATCTCAAATACAAGTACAGTGAGTAGTAAGTAGGTACACAGGAATGGCAGTAACAAAAATAGAACTTGTATATTTGCCCAAATTGAATTAACTCTCTCTAAATTCAAGGTGTATGGCAAGTTGAATGTTGGGTCTTAGCAACTGTTACATTATCAGTTTAACACAAACTCTGAAGGAGGCATTTCTCTATTCACATAGACTTCTTTAGTATGTATATGCTGATCTGTAAATGGTTTTCCTTTCACGTTTGGTATCTAACTAGTAAATATGTATGTTTCACATTAGTCTTTGTGACTCTATTCCTCTCTTCAGAAGCATCACTAATACATGTGGCCCATAGTTTGAAACATGAATTTAAATTAACGTAGTGTATAATCTTGATAGTATGAAAAGAGTCCCAAATACTTATTTTTTAAATATTAATATTAGAAAAAAAGAAAACTACAATTATCATCAGCTCTATTTCCTGAAAATTCAGTTGAGGTAACCTCTGCAAGTCACAGCTCCACATTTGCACACAGTTCTGACCCTCTTTTTGGCTGGGCTGTGGTCAATAGAATCTGAAGATATATCTCCAGAACCTGAATACATAAGAAAAGAGAAAGAGGGTTAAGACAATTCAGAATGAGTTTCAAATTTTCTATCAGTTTTAAATAAATGTGAATATTCAGAGACAAATCATTATGAATTGTTGTGAAAGGATGTTGTTGGCTAGTAAGAGGGAAAGTGTATGTTATTAGCCCATATTTACAAGAATGGAATAAAACTTACTGGGAAAATTCAATATACAATCATTCTTTTCATACATTACTTAAGAGCCATAAATTGAGGTCAAGTAGTAACAATATGCAAAGGGCATCATACTTAGAAAAACAAAGGAAAGAAAACACTTATACTGTCACAGTAAAGCAAATGGAATTAAACGTTCTTTTTAAAATCCAAATTCAAGTAGGAATGCAATAAATCCATATGTGATTTAAATCATACTTTCAATCTTTTGAATATACATCCCTTAGTAAATATTCATAATGTAGGTTTACAATTTTTTAAATACAAATAGTATTGAGAAAAGATGTTGTAGTACAATTAACAAGCTTCCATAATGTAAGTTGTGAAAAAGCAGGTGGCAACGTGATAGAGAAGCGAGAGCATTACTCAGCCCAAGGTCAGGCAGGCATGGATTCTAGTTTTAGCTCTGTCAGATTAGCTTTGTGACCTTGAATAAAAAGACAAACTCTTATGGCCTCATTTTTTCAGTTTTAATATCAGTTTGGTTCAGATGATCAAAGGTCTTTTCCTACTGATTAGATCCTTCATACTGAAACCACCAATGAAATTGTACTTGAAAACCATACCTTTCATCTGATAATCAAAAGTGAGCTCTTCTCCGGCATTTATGGTTCTCGTGGAAAATAATGCTATTCGGGGAAGACGAGTATCGAGGTTATCAATGAAAACATTGAACACCTGAAGATTTGGGTCACACTAAAAAGGAACATCAGAACCCATTTAAGTAAAAATGACATGAATGAGCTCTTCTACCTGCCATATAAAATCTTCAATTTCCCAGAGTATTAGTTTTTTAAGTTCTACTGGAAATTAAGTTGCTTATTGTTTAGAAGTCTTTGAGGAATGCACATTTTTAAAAATAGGGTTTTCACTTATAGAAATTTCAGACATACATAAAACTAGAGAAAATAACATAATCTACATGTGCAGCTCCCAACAATTAACATTTTTGCTAATGTTGTTTCACCTAGTCCTAACTTTTTAATTTTTCTGGAGGATTTCACTGCCAATCCCAGATACTATCATTTCACCTGTAAATATTTCAGTAAGGCATATTTAAAGAACTAGAGTAACTGTATTAAAAAAATCAAATGAGCACTGTAGAACTGAAATTTCATATTGCATGAGGTTTCATTCCTTAAAATTTGTTTGGAATTGTTGGATATTTTGAGAACTCTACACCAAATTCTGGAATAAGCAAGGAAAAAAGATCCAGTGAGTCATACTAAGAAATCAAATAAGTGTTTAATTTGTCCTTGAATACAGTATCTTAAATTTGTTATTTAAGAAAAAATTTATTATATATAAGAAAAAATTTAAAGTACAAGTTTAAGTAAATCAGAAAACTAACAAGGGAGTCAGAAGGTCTCTAAGATTTCACTACTAATCATAAACCAGTTTCTTGGTATAAAATCCATCAGAAGTTTAACATGGTCTACTCCCTTATATGGTTAGCTATATAACTTACTCTCCGAGACCCATTTTCCTTGTAATCTATAAAATGGAGATAACGTCACTTTCGTGAGCCTAATACTGTGTTATCCACCTGGCACTTAGTAGGTGCCCAATTAACTACTAACCTCCTTATATTTTTGAAAATAGTTTTTATAAAGTATAAGATTCTGGAGTTAAGGTTCCAGTTGTATTCTAAGCTCTTTTCAAACATGAATTAAGAATACCAATTTATAGTTTAGAAAAACAGTCCTAAATACTTCAATACTCTACAAATTCTTAAATTTTATAAAAATGCTAACGAGTTTACATTTTAAGAAACAACAGCCATCCTTAGCTGTATATCCTAAACTTAAGCTGTGTTAACTTCTGTAAGAAACCTATATAGTTGTGTGTGATTCTTAAACATTTTACCTCCTGATTCCTCTGCTTGTCAATTTCCTTCTCTATATGAGGATAATACCTATCTTATAAAGTAGTTGGAAACTTTAAATGAAGTCACATATGTAAAGACTCCTGCAACATGCACGGTATTTGGTAGGCATCTTGATGAATTTTCCTAACACAGCAATAATACCATGACTTAACAGAAGAGACCCTTGTATTAAAATACTTCGGAAATATTAAAAGGGTACGTAGTTTAAAAAGAATTATTCCTCAATGGAATAATGGAATGGAATTCAACAATGGAAAATCATTAAATCAGCACTAAATTAGTGCTGTCTATACTTTAAGTATTTCTTACACTGTGATTCACAAAATGAGACACATTTCCATATCGAGCTGCATCCACTGTGAATTCATCAGATTCATAGTCCAGATCAAAGAGATATGTGATTCCTTTGTTGTCATATAACTGCCCCCGTCTTTCAGCTTCTTCACTTGTGATTACCTAAAAAGAAAAAACTATAGTATATTTATACATAGTATAGGGTGTAGTTTATTTATACGTAGCTATTGCTGAACTGAAGAAACACTCATCCATAAGTTAATCGATATATTAACGCCTACAAATGTGTAAAAAGAAAGAAATTAAAGTGTCATCAAAACAAACATTCATACAAACTACTCTAGAAGAGTTCGGTGGAAAGAGGTGGGAAAACAAAGGGAGAAGAAACGATGGTGCAAAAAAATTATGACTGTTTAAATAGGAATTAGGACAAGCCAACAATTAACAAGTTGAAACAGTGTACTAACTTTCATTCTAATTTGTTGAGATGTTCAAAAAGCTAGACAACTACAGCTCTCTGCAGGACATAACACAATGTAAAGGACTAATGACAAGTATACTGTATATGCTCTAAAGGCCTATTTTTCCTATAACTAATCTGTGTGCAATTATAAATGGAGGTTTGTTCCAAATACAGGAGAGAAGCTATGTTAAATTTGCAGTCAACTGTGTGGAAAGTTCTGTTTTGTAGAAGAGGTTGTTTCCATGAAATTCTGTAGCTCAAAACCATCATCTACAGTTCTGCTCTTAAGCACACAGCTTGACCACCTGCTCAGCTTAGGAAACCAAAAATGTCTAAAGTGATTCGTGGTGTCAGCCAAATTTAGCTGCTGCACTCATCAAGCCAAAAGAGAGAATACTTTGATTATAGAAGATCTAGTATTCTGAATAGTGATATATAATAATCTGCCATTGTCTAAAACTGTAAGGATCAAAATAAGGATCCAATTTAATCTCAGATTTCTATACAATATACATAAATATAGGTTATCCAACTCCAAACAACTTTTAAAATGTCAGATTTGACAACCCCAGATATGCAGTCACACTCATATTTTTGTAGTCACAGCTGAACCCAGGTTGAGGAAGTGTGGTACAGTGGTGAAGTGCACTGATTTTGGAGCCTTAGTTTTGAATCCTGGCTCTTCTTTACTACTACTGTGTGACCTTGGGCAAGTTGCTTCATTTCTCTGGGCCTCAGTTTCTTCATCTATAATAATGGAGATAATACTACTACCTCACAGAGTTGTTCAGAGAATTAATGAGTTAAGTTAATACATAAGGTGCTTAGAAGAGTATGTGGCACATGGTTAATATTATTTTTTGTATATATACGTTATATGTCTAAAAATAAATTTGCTTAGTATTTGGTGATTTAGAGAATAGTCTTTGTAGCCGACTTGCAGATACAGAGTTTGGATTTTCTTGTGGATGCAATGAATGCTTTTATGTATATTTTACAATACTTGCTCATATAGCATTGGTCTACTCTACAATATCCTTCACATTCATACAAAAGTTGAATTTTGCCAACTATACTTAACCATATTTGGTAAAATGGATGAAGTAAATTACAATTTAAAAGTTTCAAAGTCAGCATGTGTTTAGATCTGATTTTCTGTTTAGACTTTTGTGTAAAAATAGTTGTCATATTTTAAAATTTACAAATGCCAGTTTCAATGACCATGAATGGGTGTTTGTTGAAAGATGACTGTATCCATTTCATTTGTCATTCTATGTATTTTTTGCTCATATTCAAGTTCATATTTCTAACTATGCCAGTGAACCCTTCTTCTCAAACTAGAAATATCCACTTATTTCCAAATGATAATATCAAAATCATAATACCACATATTTGTTACTGAGGTAAAAAGGTAACTTTTCAAAAGCGTAAACCTTCCATGCACATTATTTGCTATGTGATAAATTGAACATACCTCTCCAACATATTCCATGACAAAACTCATTCTTTTAATCTTCACAAGGGTTTTTACACCCCAGCCACAGCCATTGCTAGTTCGAAAGATGCAAAGTGAATACTGTGTGCCTTTTTGTACAATCCTATTGGGACAATCAGGTCCACATTGACACCTTGAGTTGCATTCATAAATGGGGGTACCAGGTGGGATTTTAATTTGTCGGTTTTTATTATAAGCCAAAAGAACTCCAGCTTCAGCAGGACAACATTTCTCAAAGAAGCAATCTGTGCACGAACAACCAAATGTAGCTTCATTTACTAAGCTGATTCCAGGAGCTGGTTTGTATTCATTAACGTAGTAGAAGTCTGAAGGTGGGCCCTCTAAGTCAACAGTATTTTCAACAAAAATCATTCCTTTATGATTCTTTTTTCTGTTGAGTTCATCTTGCCATCTCTGCAGAGCTATCCTTTGTTTAGCCTTCTTTACAATGTATTCAGCAATGGCAGGTTTCAAAGCTTTGTTATTGTCTTTTAGAGTTATTGCTCTGCCTTTCTTTACCTGAGATAAATAATTACGCTTGTCATTAAGGAATTGCTGAAGTAGTAATGGGCACTTGAGATTTTGCAAAGGTTCCCAAGTATTTGTAGAATCTGGCCATCCTTTCCATTTTACAAGATAATATTCCATATCCTTAAAATATAAAAGAAAATGCAAATCAGATTATGACAGTCTCAATTATTTAAAATAATTTACTATCTTAAGGAGTAAGGTATCCATTATCATTTTTCTTAATAAAGTTCAGAATATATAGTCACAGATTTCTAGCAGAAGAAGTTCAAATCCTAAAAAAACATGATTTTTCTTTATATTACATAAAATATATATAGAATTTAGATGTGGCATAATATATTTGACCATATGCAAAAGAGTTGCACCTAGAGAAAGATAAAAGTACTGAAATTCATGAATATTTTACCAAACAGTGATTATGTTAAACAAAAAAGTATTTCTTGATCATGGAAATAGGTAGTCCCCGAACAATTTAGGATCTAGATTAGTGGTTTACTTGGCCAGCAAAAATGTATGCATCCTCTAAAGTCTGTAATTTAATATTTTATGCTGGATATGAGGAGGTTCTATTTCTCAGTGTCATGGCACACATCCCCTAGATGTTCCAGAGACACACTGTCGCATACAGTCATTCCTAGCCGTGTGTATCTATGGAGCACCTGAAATGTGGCTGGTCTGAATTGAGATATGCTTTACGTGTAATGCACACTGAATTTCAAAGACAGCACAAAAAACAAATGTAAAATATTGTTTAACTTTTAAAAAATGTTGACTACAAATTGAAATAAAATTTTGGATTTATTGGATTAAACATATTATTGAAAGCAATTTCACCTTTCTTTTTGTTTAATGTGGTTACTAGAAAATTTAAAATTATACATATGTAGCTTGTAGTATATTTCTATTGGACAGCACAATCCCAGAGAACTCTTCCCTTAGTTAGATTCACCTGTGATTGGATTAGGGAGCAGGCAGTCGAGCCACCAAAGGTCAAATATTTTGCTTTGCCCCTCAGACTGCTGTTGGCCCCCACGGTGCCCGGAGTCCTGCCCTCCTACCCCAGTGACTTGACTATGTTTTCTTCCCTTAAAGTCAGGCAATGCCATGTTCCCCTTAAAAAAGGTAGTCAAGTGTGTATAACAAAAAAATTCTGCAATAAAGTCTCTCAGTTTTTTCTTTGTCCTGTGGGGTGACTAATACATCGACGTGCCCTAGGGTAAAACACCTTCTGAAAGTGATTAAACTGCATTCTGTAGTTTTTAGTTATTTTGATTCACAGATATTAATAAAAATTTAATTGGGATACATTTGCTTTCCCGTCAAATTCTTAATAAAGATTTTATGATAAAGTAAGGATGCCCATGCTGGCTGTTTTACTATCCATAATGTATTAGTACCAGACGCCCTGGAAGGTCTCGGTAATGTGGTATTAGCCATGCTGCTGAGGCTCCAATTGGGCTGAGGAGCACCGACGCAGCTCTGCAGGAGCAAGTCACTCAGCTAAGCGAGAAGCTTGTCTTCTCCCCACTGTCTTCATCTCAGTGTTTCACGATATTCCACTCAATAAGCAGGAATGCTTGTGAATTAAAAGAACTTTGCTTCTTTATGAAAATGGTCAAAATACGTTTTCTCTGTTAAAACTATGTGGTTAAATTATGGTGTGAGGGTATGCACAAAAACTGTACTTCCATGGAGATATAGATTGTGATTCCAGGAAAAAAGGCCTAGACATATATTTAAATATTAGTCAAATTGACTCCCTAAGATGTAACATGGATTTCTTCCTCCTGTCAGGTAACTCCTACAATTTGGGACGGTTGTTAGGTATCTACTCAACAATAATGAAATCCACTTGACAGTATCTAACATATCTACTGCTCTAAATTATAAAAGTTTTTAATTTTTCTGATTCCAGAATAAAGCAATGAACCCTGGGTCCTCTTTTTTTTTCTGCTACAGTTTTTCCTACCAAAGCCCTGGGTTATGCCAAAGTTGCCAGCAAACAATGAGAGAAACAGGAACACGGCTTCAAGTCAGATAATTAAACTAAATTATCATTTAGCAAAACTAAAACACTGTGCTACTGGTTTGCTTCCAAAATAGCGTATTGTATTGTTTAATGATAAGTCACTTGCATTTTTAGTGACTAAGTTTTGTATGTTAATCACATTGGTACCCACTTAATTTATGGATGGTAAAGATATTTATGAAACATGAATGCTTTTAGCAAATAGTATAGAAATATTAGTAATATTTTATTTCTACTACTTTGTAGACTTTATTTTATAAGAATACTTTACTATTAAAATCCAAAAAAGATATTTCCAGTTTGAAAAATAAGATAATTTTATACAGAAAAATCAGTTTGACTTAAGAAACAAATTCAATTAATTCAATATCCTAAAATTCCAAATAAAAGCCAAAAATTTCATAAGCCTCATATATTATAAATCAGTATCTTATTCTGATATGCAGTCAACTCTTGATTACCTATAGAAATGGAGCATAGTCATAAAAATGATCCAACAAAATCACTCCTGTATAATTTGGAATGCATCATATGAAGTTTTTCTTAAAGACATTTTCCCCCACTATGTTTGGCTTGGGTTAAATTCAAATATTTTCGTATCTACAATAAGTATATGAAAGTTTTCGGTCATTAGGAGGTATGATGAAATGGAAGGCAATACTAGGCTTTAGGAGTAAAATCTTATTGGGAAAGAAGGCAATAATATGTAAAATAAGTAGCAATGCAAGGTAGTACAATTTTAAATGCCAAAACAAAGAAGACAATCAATACAACTGGAATATAAAGAGGGAAATCAACAGAGGTCCGACAATCAGAACAGGTCACAGAGGAAGGAGAACAAACTACACCGTGAAAGACTGCTAGGACTTGCTGGGTAGGGAACAGGGCAGCCAGGATGAAAAACACCAGCAAAAGCTTGGAGCTAAGATTTGCACGAAGTATCCAGACAACATGAAGAGATGGATTTGGCTAGCTTTAAAGTTTAGAACATTGAAGTGAAAGATAAAACCGTTATGGCAAGGCAAGAGCAAATTTTAGACAGCCTCGAACACCGGACTGAGGGCTCTGAACTTGTAGGCCAATGGTTTTTACAATTCTTGGAAACCATGGTGTTTCTGTGGGGAGCTTCATTACATTTAATTCCATCTTGTTGATTAGGAACAATTTTACCAATCTTCTAATTGCCAAGCCAAGGGCTCTTCTGACTTACGCATTGATATCTTGATTCTCCCTTGTTCCTCTTCTGCCTTCTTCACTGAGACTGCTATCCCTGCCCTTCACTTAAAAACAACCAGATACTCAGGGCTCTGTCCGTGGCCGCTTTCCACACTAAAGAACCGTTTATTATCCTTTCGAGAATCTGAAGTAAGCTCTGGACCTTTCCCTAACAAAAGTCACATATGTAATATTTTGGGTAATTTCAGGATATTTGGATTCCAGGTTAGGAATTCCTGCTCTAAATGCCTCTCTGGGCAAGCTCATCACTCCAATGGTTTTAATTACATGCTGATGACTCCCAAAATTTTATTGCAACCCCACATATCCAACAGCAGACTGGATGTCCGAGTTCTTAAATTAACCTATCCACATGGAACTCCCCACTCTCCTTCCATTTTAAATGGATTCCTTCTGTATTCTCCCCATCAAGAGGAATCTTACCCTGTCTACGTAGTCACACAGGTTGCAAACCAGAAGATCAGCCATAATTCTTCTCCTCAATTCCTCATCAAGTTTCTTTAGATGCTTACTCCTGTCCATCTCTATTATCATAGCTCTAGTTACTTCAGGCTTTCGATTCTTGCCTGGATTATTACATTAATCTCCCAACTGGTTTCTCCGCCTTGAGACTGACAACTCTCCAAACTATCCTTCTTTATTAAAGTGTAGAGTTTCCATATAAAAAAATTATCCACCGTACCAGTCATTTTGTTATGTTCTTGCTTAAAACTATGAATGGCTCCCCGATTGCCTACAGAATTAAGTTCAAACCTCCTTACAACAAAGATCATTCTTGATTGGGACGGTGCTGCCTCTCTAGCTCAATCCTCCAGTATGGCCCCATTCACACACCACCCTCTAGCCACAATGACCTGCGCTGGTACTTGAGCTGCCAGGCCTTTTCATACCTTCCTGCTGCTTTGCTCACAAAGTTCTCTCTAATTAAAATGGCCTCTTTCATTTACCTAATGAACACTTATTTATTTCAGTTTCATCTTTTATGTGTAGAAAAACCAACTCATCTTTAAAATTCAGCTCAAGTGTCATCTCTTCTGACAAGTCTTTCCTACCTCTCTTGCCCAAAGAGGACTGATCATTGCCAACCCCACCGTATTCCCATTTCCAATCTAAACTATAAGAGATTTGTGGGAAGGGATGGAATCTTATTCTTTGTAGCCCCAGAACCAAGCACAATTGCCTACCATATCTTAGGCTTTAATTGCATGTTTCTGAATTTATAACAAAAAATATGTTTACCAACATGTGTGCAATATGAAAATCACTAGTAACTACATTCATGCGTTGCTTAACGACAGGGATATGTTCTGAGAAAAGTGTCCTTAGGCAATTTTGTCATTGTGCAAACGTCACAGAGTGTACTTACACAAGCCTCGATGTACAGCCTACTACACACCTAGGCTATCCAGTACTAACACCGTCATGCATGTGGTCTGGCGTTGACTGAAATGTCATTATGCAGCACATGACTGTATATGAGTCCTTAAAAGAAATACCAGCTGATACACTTAACCTGGAGATAGTAATTCGTGGTTTTTCAGTATTTGTTCTATCTGCTGTCTATAGCCAATAAATGGTAGTAAGCACAAAAACTTTTAAAATATCTATATGGGAGGAAAACAACAACAACAAAAATCTATCTTCCCACTAGCTAATTTTTTCCTGCAGGTTTTGAAATAATCATCATATTCAGTGTTAGTGATAACAACAGCCTGCATCTGATCACGAAAACACCAGTGTTCCGTGGCAGCACAGTTTGAGAACTATTATGGTCTTTGGAAAGCTAATGATTTTGACATCAGTAACTGACAGAGAGTAGGGACCGTGAGACCTGGGGTAGAGGTCCAAGACCAAC